AAGAACAACAAGAACCTACTAAACAATACTATAAAAATGAAATAGCAGAGCAAGAAAGAAATTACCAATACACATATAATGATGCTATACAAATACAACCTGACCAATTTGTAAATATGCCAATAGCAGACAAACAACTAGTTATGCAACAACTAGTAGAAGAATCCAATAGTAATAGAAACCTGAAAAAATGAGAACAAGCTCGTCAAAGGTACTTTGATAATCTAATGATGGAAACAAAAAGATTTGACCACATTAAACAAATCCAACAATGACAACAAAACCAAAGTAATGTAATAAAAGTTGAAGATTCAGATAGTATAAAATCTGACAAAGAACATCAACAAAAGAATGATGAATTCTTTAAACAGTATTATGAAAATCAAGATATCATAGATCCAAATCAGTACCAAATATTGTATACTGAAGACTACAACATATCTGACCTAAACTTAGAAGAAGGAAGTGAAACCCAAGATATACATATACTACCACCTTTACCAAGATATACTCAAATAACACTTTCGTATTCGCAAATACTATTAACAACAGACTTTGAAAATATAATGCTACCAGATGCTTCACTGCACCCTATAACTATAGTACCTGCTTCACCAAAATCAAATATTAAAAATTCTCAGAAACAGTATCATCCTTCATGCCTTTTAGTAAAGAATATTTGTCTTTGTCGTTTGAATTCATCAGATACTGGTGGTATTGTGAATTCATTATTTTGCAAGTTATCCATTTGCAATATTGGTTCTTGGGTTAACTGGGTTGTTGTATTATCTTTTAATGCAGTTTTTTGTAAGTCTTGACTTGAGTCCTTTCGAGATAAGAATAGTAATTTTGGCATGTAGGATGATACTGTTTCTGAGAATTTTTAATATTTGATTTTGGTGAAGCAGGTACTATAGTTATAGGGTGCAGTGAAGCATCTGGTAGCATTATATTTTCAAAGTCTGTTGTTAATAGTATTTGCGAATACGAAAGTGTTATTTGAGTATATCTTGGTAAAGGTGGTAGTATATGTATATCTTGGGTTTCACTTCCTTCTTCTAAGTTTAGGTCAGATATGTTGTAGTCTTCAGTATACAATATTTGGTACTGATTTGGATCTATGATATCTTGATTTTCATAATACTGTTTAAAGAATTCATCATTCTTTTGTTGATGTTCTTTGTCAGATTTTATACTATCTGAATCTTCAACTTTTATTACATTACTTTGGTTTTGTTGTCATTGTTGGATTTGTTTAATGTGGTCAAATCTTTTTGTTTCCATCATTAGATTATCAAAGTACCTTTGACGAGCTTGTTCTCATTTTTTCAGGTTTCTATTACTATTGGATTCTTCTACTAGTTGTTGCATAACTAGTTGTTTGTCTGCTATTGGCATATTTACAAATTGGTCAGGTTGTATTTGTATAGCATCATTATATGTGTATTGGTAATTTCTTTCTTGCTCTGCTATTTCATTTTTATAGTATTGTTTAGTAGGTTCTTGTTGTTCTT